GTTTTGTGATACAGATCGATGCCCACAAGGGAATGCAGAACGCTGTCACTTCAGATTTGGCTTCACAACTGAACTCAAAATGCCTCTTTCATGACAGTCTTTATTTCTCACTTACCCCAGTATAATGCAGTTTTAACACGGATACTTGCAATATCAAGAAACACACAAAGGAAAACATTTTGCAAATTTTCATTCAGTGTGAGCAAGTTTAATAGGCGATACAAACCTCAACAGTTAAAAGATACGTAATTTGAAGCCTAAACCATCCAAAACTGTCACTATAATGCTTGTTCCCATATCAAAAACTGGACTTCTATCCCTACTACTCTTAAAATTATCTAATTTACCTAATCTTATTCTCAGTATTTCAGAGAAAAATTGGGACGTAACCAATGCAAGACTAGACTGTAGAATGTGTAATATTTCAACTGCCTTATATATGTCCAGGTTCTCTTTTCTCTCAAGAGATCGCATTAGAGTGGCTGTTTATATCTTCAATATCACATGTGAATTCCAGTAGTTACATCCATCCAAAGGAGATTATATCTACCTGCTGGTCTAAGATAAACAGCAAAAACATCTGTTAAATCTCTAGCCCTAGCTAGTATATGAAGTCTCTGCTTTTGAAGCTTCTTCTCAAGCTTCCTGGTTTCCTTCTCCTTCTACAAATCAGGGGAATCCATGAAAGGGTGGATGCAGAGACCAGATAAAGCTGTCACCAGACACAGGGAGTTGCTCAGGGTCCTCTGCTTCCAGCACTTCTCCGTGTGTGGATCTAAAGGAGGCAGCCTGACTCACTGCGTGTCATACCAGAACACTACAATAGTGTTTACCTCAAGATCTTGCCAGATTAAAATAAACACAATCCCATCATACAAGGTGCAAACATTTTCAAACCCACTTTACAGACAGAAAAGTTGGTGTAGTAAGACTTTAAGCTGTAAGTGTAACTGCATTAAACGAACACAAGTCACATGTAGATGCAGCAAGAGAAGAACCAGTCTTGGGAAACAAGCAAACAAAAGCCTCACCATAGCTGAATATTAGGGTACTTGCCTAAAAATATAGCCACATTGCTCTACACAATGAAGTTCAGAACACTTGCTGCAGGACACAAGTACATATATTCTAAACACAGAACACAGAAAGACTGCTGCCTCCCAGCTTAGTCACTAGGTATTCTGGCCTCTTAGTGTAACACAAATTCATCTATTTTATATTTTCTGCAGGTCTGTCACGTGGCAGTGGTACCTGACTTGTGCTAAGCAGTATTTTCAAAGAGAATGAATCCAGCTTCAGCTTTAGAACTTGCTAGACCAAACCGGGCAAACCTGCATGCTTATAAGATAAGAATAGCTCACCTGTGCAAAAGGAGTTCAGAGGTAATATTTTAACAGCAAAAGAACCACTAATTCTGATGGTCCTGGACAATGACTTAAAGAACAGGTGCAGCCCCACCATTACAACAAAACCCAACTATCTAAAATCTTAAAGACAGTGCAGCTCAAGCCAGTGAAATATAAATTTGCTCATGGCAATATGGGAAGAAAATCTTTGCGATGTAGAAACAGATTTCACTATATGTTTTTCAGAATATGGCATTACCCACTGCTTTGCATGCATGGCTTCACTGGATATATTTAAATTATATTTCATAAACACACTCTATTAACTTCTTTATTCCAAATATATCAAAGTAAAGTAGGAATAGCATAGTCTTTATTAGAAGTTTCTATTTACATGAAAAATTACAGTAACCAATCACCCTAACTTAGGAAGACTAGCCAAAACAAAAAAAAAACCCACCAAAAAAAGTGTTTCATTATATTAAAAAGCCTCAATTACAGAAAGCCTGACACAGCCAAGATATAATTATAATCAACATCAGAGAGAGATGTATAAAAAGTGAAAAGTGCAGTTAGAACATTCAGTGTGTCAAGCACAGTGAATGTGATACCAGCTGCACAGCACTTTAATATAATTAAACTGCACTTCTTATATAATGTAAGTTAAATGACAGGCAAGAGTGAAGTTAACTATCTGCTTTCTGGTACAGGAATGCAAGCATTGCAAGGTTATTTTTAAATCTTTTTAAAAAGAGCAGCACAAGTAGCATGTCAGCAGTGCCAAAAAAAATTCTGGTTGTCTCTCACTGGTGAGCATCCCCTTTCACTTTAGCATTATGACCTATGTGCACAAACAAAGCAGTATTTAATTATTTTTGTATTACAGTAAAAATCCATTGGGTTTGAAAATGAGACCTAATTATCTTGTATCAACAGAGGCAGGTTTAGGCAAAAACCAAGAAAATACTTTACCCTGTGATGTACCCACTGCCCTTTCCCCACCTTCTCTACAGTCTTCTATTTGTAGCAGTAAAATCCTGCTGAGTTTAATTAATGCACAGAATTCACTTCCTTTAGTTTCATTTTAATTACAAGAGAAATGAGAAAAGAATAAGTATATATTTGTGACGAGATATTAGCTACTCTGAATTGGTTAACTGAAGCAACTAGGAGTAGTATAGCCCTGATGGTGTACGAATTCTTATTACTGTTGCTTTTTGCCCAATTTCTGCAAAATATTTTGCAGTCAGGACCAGGGTTTATTCTGCCACAAAAGCTCACTTGTATGAGCTGGTGAGTGGCCTGGAAGCACAGCCTAGAAGAGCAGAGCATACCTAACAGCCTTGGATTCCCCTCCACCCCCAAGTGGATTACCTGTCTGCTTGGACGAATGGTAGGGCTACCTGTTGCGGCAGTTTTTGAGGAAAAAGAAAGGCAGCTTTGTTGTAGCCTGGATAATCAGAACTGTGAAGCCACAGCACTTGGAAGAGGCTTACTGCCAAAGGGACACATGCCACTTCTTGGCTAATGAAGCAAGCATTGAAGTCTGTGCCACTGCAGCTATGCTGGTAAGGGTATCAAGCTATAGCTCATTTAAACCTGACTTTTATGAATCTATATACACCTCCAGACTCAAAGAAGTCACCTGAATTAATAGAAAAGTGTGATGGCTTCCAATTAGAGGAAAGAAAATCAAGCCATTTGTTCTATGGTTGCTGATACTCTAGGATATAAACAGAAGTCCAAATACTGCCGCAAATGAAGTCGCAACCTCGGTGGCCCGGGGTGATTCACATGTGCTGCAGTCTACATTGATTTAAATCTTACAGCTTATTTAATTTTTTCTTACCTACATCCAGTTTTAAAACACCTGAGTATTACAAAAGACTACATATATGCATACCAGAGATGGGATTAACATTTTCCCCTACAAAAAGGTACTATAAACTATAGATCTAGAATGTTTTACATAGGAACTACACAACTGGTATGACAAAAGAGAAAGGTATTCTCTTGTGACTTATCAGCTACCTTAATGGGATTCTCTAGGAGACACTCTAGTCCTGTACTACAATTGTAAGGAACAGTTATAAAAAGTTCTTAAAATTTTGCAAAAACTTATCAAGTTACATTCATTCTCTAGGCTACATCTTGTCCTGTGTAAGAGGCAGTACAGAGGTCTGCAACTAGAAGAGTACTAGTACAGGGACAGCTCTATGAATCAAGTCCACTTTTTTCGCTTACAGATAGGATATTATTTTCCATCATCTGTCAGTCACAAGAAAAACTGGAAGGGAAAGGACAAAGTCAAATTCCTTTCACACAATTCCTGTATCTGTGCATGGGTGGCAAGTCTATTGAATAAACAGCAGATCCCATTTTAAGTCCCTGTAGTCTAAACCATAACCAAAAATTAAAACATACACATTGTGAAAATGTGCGTACATGCCTCTTTCCCAGTTATTCTTAAACAGAAAAAATACCTTAGTCTATAAACTGAAAGAAATCCAGATTCTATGTCTAAAATACATTCCTGTTAAAGGACACAGTGAGGAGACAGATCCAACCTGTTTGCTCACAAAGGTCCAAAATTTAACCAAACATATCAACTATTTTCTACCTGAAAAAAAAAAAATCAGAAGTCTTCTAAACATATAACTTTACTCATGTAAGCAGTTCAAAGACATTTTCAAGTTGTAAAGTATGCCTTTAATTTCCTTCTTAGGGATAATTAACACATATACAGTCGTGACATGAGCTTGCACGGTCTTTAAGCATACCAGGGGCCAACTACAGATATATAAAGAGCAATTCAGCTAATTAAATACAGGTGTGAAAGACTATTTTTGATGCCCAAGAGAAAACTCTCAGCTGGACTCCAGCTGCCACAGAAGAAAAACACAGATCTCCCATAGGTCCTATGATATCTTCTAGCTCTGTAAGGCTGTCTTAGATCACCTGGAGCACATAAAACGGCACTCACCATCTATATTTGGCAGTTAAATCACTCAAACAGTCCCACTGACCTCCATACATCATCTCAAGTGAGTAACTGTTTCTCAGCGTAAAAAGCTGACAGTGTAACCAAAAGCGTACAACATTAGAACCCAAAATGATTCACTTTTAGCAGTGACACAGATGATCTCGGACCCTTACAAATCAATAATAGTAGCAGCCACAGGAGACCTGCATGTATCACCACACAAGAATTTAAAATAAAATATAATTATCCCTCTCAAACATCAGGTTACAGGCTCTATTATCATCCTGGTTTGAGCATATAAATAAAATATTATCAGAAACATATTTCTGAAAAACTATTCACAGCGATGTTAACTCAGTCTATTCCATATGTTCTCTGCTATCAAAAAGCACACAAGAGTAATCTTTAATTTGCCAGGAATACCTGTGCTGATTCATGTAACTAATTAAACAATAGCAAAGGGTCCATCTTAAGTGCATGGATCTCTTTCTCTATACTCTAATTTAACAACAAAAAATAAAGTACATTTTAGGTATAAGAGAAGAGCAAAACCAATTCTACATAAACCTGTTTCCCCAATTTGCAAACTTGCTAAAGAGAGCTAAAGAAGAACGTGGTGAGAAACTTAATCCTCGGTAAGATTTATGCAAGAAATAAAGCAAAGCACTTACCGTGTCTTGAGATTTATCTTTGACATCATAGACTGTTAGTTTTATTTTAGTCTCCTCATAGATGGGGTATTCCGGTGGGAATGTCACACCAGTCAAAAACAGTGGATCTCTTGTACCCTATGTAACACGAGTAAACATTCAGTAAGGTAACAGCTGTGCAACATGTAGTATGCCATTATGGATGTACAGAAACTGTGGACTCTTTAAAAGAAGTTAGCTTTCTACAGCAGAGATACGTGAACAGCTAAGTATTAACTAATCAGTAAGAAAACTGGACAACTTTAAAACTTTGTCAGGAAAATTTCAAAAAAATTTCTGGAAAGTTTTTTAACTGGAAAAGGTACTAAGTTCTTCTGAAACAGAGCCTAGCAACATGCTTTTAAACAGCTCAGCCACCAGGTACCAGTATTTGGAATACAACCTGTAATAAATAATCCCTTTCTTTATTCCACGATACTTTCTGAAAGTACTGCAATTTCATATTAATTTAAATGAACTAAGGATATAACACACACACGCACACACACAAAAGAGATCTTCATTAGGTTGCAATAAAATGTCTATAGAAATGCTATAGAGACTCCCTGTATTACATTAGGGATACTGATTTGTGGGGAGGGGATTCTAATACCCCTCTTGAGGCAGTAGTGGAGTAAGATAACATTCCTGTGCTTTGTAACATTATGATTATATCCAAAAGCTGTACACAGAAGTAACTATATCATGGCTTCAGATATACAAACAATTAAATGAATCATATAAAAGGTTGTTTGTAATTTCTTAATGTTTAATTATACTTAATTTCCAAAGATTACCAGGCTAGTATCCTTAAATTGTCTACTAAATAAAGGATTTTGCATAATAAATGCAATTTCTCTGGAAGAAAATAACTTTTCTGTGCCCCTGCCTCCCCCTCCCCCAAAGCTTGACTATGAAGCTGAGAGCCTTGACACAACAAATTCAGAGATTTATTCAGATCTGGGACATTGTGTTAGGAAATGCATCAACTTCTATGAAAAAGAAAATACATATATATATATTCCATGTTCTGCACAACATCATTCCAGATAGTCTGCAATGAAACATCCTTATCAGATACGAGGTATTTGAATTAAGCAGTTTCAGGATGGTTGATGGCTGAAACCATAACAATTTGATTAGTAGTTGGTTGAAACTGATCACACAAAGAGCTCATGAAATATTCTCATTGTATTTAATAGTTAAAGCAAGTCTTTGGCAAAATCGTGTATGTGTTTACAATAAGACTTTCCTGTTTCTTAATGAGTCTCTCCATAAGTTAAGAAAGTTACACCTACACTGCCTGCTCACACTTAATTTTCTCCGTGAACTATTTTTGCTTGATGCTTACAGGGCAAGGCAAAGACTAGCAAAGCAGCCTCAGACAACTTTTGCTGTAATATGTGATGCAAGTTACTAATTATTTCATATAAAGTCACAGATGTTTCATACACACACTCTTTTCCCTAATTATAGAAATAGGCTAATATTTTTCAAATTGCAAAAGCATCAGCTTTCCAGTGGAAAAAATAGAACAAGAAACAGATAGGATAACAGACCATATAATACACCTATGTTCTTCTGTAATTTAAAAATACTTTACAAACTCACTGTACTCTTAATTTAGTTTTACTTTGCATTGCCTTGTCCTTTCAGGAGAGCAACTATTCCCTGTTTCATCCTAGACCTACGTTTGGAGAACCAGAGTATTCTCTACGCCTCTACTTGGAACAACAGAGCTTTCATGAAAAGCCAAGTTCATTTCTAACTGTTTATCCTGGTTAAATGCCAAGAACTACAGAACACTCTAAGGTATGCTTTACTAACTGCCAGAGTGTGCTTGTCTCACCTAAGACTATGCACTAACTTGTTTTATTTCTCATTCACTTGCTAAGGAAGAAATGAGCAATTCATTAGTCAACATGTTAATTGAATAAGAGACTCTCACCTCCACGATTTCAGTGCTTGAATACCTCGTCAAAATGTGCTCTGCTGGATGTACCACCGAGACTTGTATAAACGTATTCAGCTTCCGATCACGGGTAGCAGCCACTAGATCCTTGCATGCTGGAGACAGTACAAAATAAAAATAAAATACTTAAAAGAAAACTCTGGGAAGAGGCTGTCACAGGCACAGGACAAAGCAGACTACACTCCGGCTCCAGATTAAATCTTTAGAGACAAGTCGATTTAACACAGGAAGTCCCTTGGAAGTAACTTGCAGAAATAGGAAGTCACATGCTGCAGAACTGAACTGAGATTTCGTTTCCACTAAAAATACTTGCAGCTTCTGCAAACCTCCCTGCCAGAGGCTCATCAGCTCCAGTATATGAATGTGCGTGCGCATATGCACACACACACTGCAATGGTAGGTAATTTTACATAAGCACTCATTTAATTTGCCACGAAATCTCTCGTAGCAGCCTAATTTGATCATCTCTTGTCTGACAATTTTCACAGTACGTGACCATTTTAAACACATTCTAAGCCAGTTAAATGCTATCAGTGATTAGGTTAGTTTATATAGTCTGATACTACATTATGAACTTTTTAGTAGAATTAATAATCAAGTAAAAATCTACATACCCAAAAGCAGACAGCAAAATAACCAATTCTTTTGTCAGTGACTGGCATATAAATGAGAAGAATAATTGTATTCTGGCTATATGACATCATTATTAAAACTCATTCAACCTAATATAGAGAAATTCAGTTCTTGTTTAATAATTCATTTTTATCCTGGGCTCAGAGTCATGCAGGTGACTGAGTTCACTCTTTAGAATAACACGCCTGATGCCTTCTAACCAAAAGGATGAAAGCACCAAAGAAAAAAGAAAAGGAGGAGGAAAGAAACAATGCACCATTAGCTGCTCTGCAGAAGGGATGTGGACTAATGGGGCATGCATTGGCTCAAATGCAAATCCCATCCACCTTACGTTCTTCAATAAGGAATATGCAACAGTGAATACTGTGATAGGATCTACCCAGCCTTTTCTGCAGTGCATCAAACTGCACTGGGATCTTAGAAGCCTGAGGGAAGAAAAGAAAAGCCTACGGTTTTGGAGAGGCTAATTGTCAAGAAAGAGCTGAGGACATTTTCTAGCAGTCACTGCCAACTGGGAGCTTCCTCAAGTGCAGCTGACCTTTAACATTTGAAAAGGTGAGTCAGATTATCCTCACAGCAAGCAAACCTGGTCTGATGAGAAGCCAAGGCAAGGAAAGCTCTGCTACATACAAAAGGCAAACGCAGCTTGGTTTATACTTCTTTTTCTTTGGGCTTGGACCTGCTGCTTGAGGAAATAAAAGGAAAACTAGCTGAAGCTTTTTTACCACTCTTCCGTAACAGTTAAAAGGGAACAAGGAAACAATTAAATCTAACCTTCACAGAATATTTTGAAGTTTTTGCCTTAGCCCGAATTGCCAATGAAATCTCTTGGTAGACAGTCTCAAACTTACTCTATCGTAATTTGGTGGTAAAAGTGGGGTAAGAATAAAGTTTGTGCATGATGAAGTCTTTATGTAACAGCTGATATAACAGCGCCAGACTCAAATAGCAAGCCAGCAATTCCTTGCTACTAAGGCTCACCGCGTTATTGAAACGACTCTAAATGTTAGCACTACTTGATATGACCTGAAGATTTATATGAGTAGATTTACTGAAAAGCAGTTAGTAAAGCACAAAATATTGGGCAGACACCTACCTATTTGAACTATATCCTCTCTAAAGCTGACCACAGACGCAGTATCAGATCATTGAAATTTCCAGATACAGCCATTTCCCCCCACAAACCCTTATCTTATGCCACCACCCAATCCTTAAATGTTCCACTTTATAATCATGTTTTTAGCATATAGCAGAGTAAAGCACAGTTTCAGAGGAATGGCAAGAGGGCTCATGTTCACTACAGGGAGTTGGAACACTGACAGATATAGTCAAGTTTTTCACACCCACCACAAAGGAAGGCTAGCCAGCTCACAATTCAATGGACCTCCAAAGATGAGCGGAATATACCAGAAGGGAAAAACAGAAAGAGACAGAAACTTAGGAAAAACAAAAATAAAGCCCCCCATAACCCCACCAGTGACTCTGGCAGGAACCCTACAGCTGAACTTTTGTAAAAAGTACTAGTGCGTGATGAATGGAGGTAAATCCCCCACAAATAATGGTTTGATTTACTTGTGGGATATCTCAAATACATTAATTAGATGTGACTAATTCTCTTAGCAGCCAAGAGCACAGGCTTTTATCCTATTGATAAATCTTTAACAATAGGAAGAAGATCTGCACTAAGTGGTCACCACCTTGATGATACCTGAGCATAGGAGACAATTAATTCCTGTGATAGTAGGGCAATCCAGTCATTAGCTCATTTTCCTGTAAAAAGGCAGCTTAGCAACATGATCTTGAATTTCATTGGCTAGAGTTGACATAAAGATAAATCATCTGCATATCTCCAATAGGGAGGATCAGCATAAAGTATCAGAACTCTTTGGGAGATCCCAATGCAGAAGGATACATGAAATAAAATGGAACCTGCATGTACTTTGATGACAGAGTTATTTGTCTGTATTATGACATTGGGCTACTGCTGTTCACAGCTACCCTTTCAGTCAGAGAGGATATTCAATAAGGTTGTCACTGGCAGAGAACTGAAGATTTGGTGTGACACAGAATTTGTCAGTTTGAGCCACAGTGCATCACTTCCCTGAAAAACAGCCCAACTGAAATGCTTAACAAAGCATAAGGGCTACTTTTAAACTGATGCCGAAGAACAGAAGTTTGTTATACCCTGTTCACAGCCTGGCAAGTTCCACAGCCCCACACTGCATTATTGCCCTTTGAACTACTGTACTAGCAGTATCTCTGAAGATCTTAGGTCTTCTCAACACTCTTTGGACAAAGTGAAACACTACACGGCTGTGAAAGTGAAATACCAGCTATATGTTATATATTTAAACACATCTGTTGGGCATTATTGACAGACTACTCAAAAAGAAACTGATGAAAAGACAAACACGAAAGGCATGTTATGGCTGTTTTCTTAACTGCAAATGTAACACAGTGAAAGCAGGTGACAACATCAATGCACTTTCCATCATAACCTACGCCCAAGCAGACCATATACATAGGTCGCATTATTTTTCAATACTTCACTATGCTTGAATTAATTCTGGAAAAACTCATCAACAAAACTCAGTGAAATGAAGTGACAGCTTGTACTTACATGCCAAAAGTATATGAATCTACTCATTGTGACTGTTGACTCAGTGTGTAAAAGCCTGAGTCATCCATTCCCCTGGTGATCCCATCTCTGCTAAGCCTATCAGTGTGCAATGAACGTTTAAGGAAGAACTGCATTAGGAATAATTTATGCTTTTATATCAACAAAGAAAAAAGTTAAGATGGCCGGAAGAAACAACTCCTTTACATACTAAGGAAAGAAAAAGAAGGAAAGAAAGACAGCAAAGTTATCACTATGTGTAGAGCAAGATGAAAGGCTGCAAGGAGAAAGAACTACTCTAGAATACATTTACAAATACTTATGTATTTTGCAAAGTTCTGTGGTCTACATTTAAAACTGTCTTACTATTTAGAATGCCTTAAAACAGATAACATTTAATCAATGTTATCCTTCAACACTTCTTTTCTAAAGAATAAAAACAAAGAGAATATTGTTGTTTCAGTTACTCTACTGTTGTTGTTCTACTATTAAAACTATAATATTGTTCTTACATGAATGACAGTAAACAAGCGCTCCTTTTCTATCAGTCATGCCCATACATTGTCCTGTACATTCCAGTACCACTACGATGCACACACCCCACGTGTGCTGTAAACGCAAACAGCATGAGTAGATGTTTGATTCTGAAGTCCTGCCACATTCAATATTTCACTGTTCTCTACGCTGCACTAACATGCTGGCTGTGCCCTTCATCCTTCCGTGTGCATGTGTGCACACGTAAAGACAAGAGAAAAGAAAGACTGGTTACTGTTTCCTCAAAACTGGGCTATGCTGTAAACACAGCAGAATCTTGCTTCATGGTTTCAGTGACCAATTCATGGGATCAGGGAGAGTTTTCTAAAAATGTTACCTGAACGGAAGAACAGAGCACAGAGAGAAAGACCAAAAAATTCAATGACTATATAACAATAACAAGGGAGAAAACAAATAAAACAAAAACCAAGGCAGATATAGTCTGGAAATTCATCATCTACCTTCCCAGAAACTGTAACAATTCTGACCAGGTGTTCAGCACTGCTCCAAGCACTAAGCCCACTGGAGCCAGAAGAAATTAATCTGGCAGAAAAATGGGGAGATGCAGCATGTCCCAGAACTGAAAAAGATCCAGTAGCTGGAACAAACGACAGGGGCAGAGGGACTGAAAGACATTCCCAGCTCAGAGTTCACAGAGTTGTTTGGGAAGGAAGCCAAGGACTAGCCCAAGAATTGGGAAATGGCATTGAAATTAATAATGTTTATTTTTGTTAGTGGGGGAAACTACAGCACATTGGTGAAAGTCTTCCCAGACTAGGAATTCACACAATGCATGTATTAACCTACATGGCAATTTGCGAGGTAGCTTTTTCTCTAGCCAGTGACAGAAATGACATTTCCCACAGCCTCATTCCCTCCCATTTTCCAAACCAAAACAGATTCCAAGGGGCTGGCAAGGGACAGGAATTAACCAGCATAGCCCTGTTGTCTCCCGGGCACACTATTTTGTATGCTGTCAAAACAGAACAGAAAATTAGTAGTATCTGAAGACAAGGGGCATGGGAGAAGCCTGTGTGTCTCACACACATATGTGAACATAATGTTCAAAATTTTTTTTCATTTCATTGGCATTGCAGCAGCATTATTATCCCAAAGCAACTTAGTTTATAAATAATAATGTACAGTCTGTCTTGATAGACTAATTAACTGAGGTGCAGCTATTCCTTAGTGGGCAAAAGGACAGATTAAATAAGAGAACACTACATTCAGAGCTGCGCTACATGCAGAACACTAAACAGTACACAGTTTTCTTTCCTCCACCCCGGGGGAGTGTTGAGGAGGGTAGGGAGG